ATGACAGTAATATTATCCATATAAAGTGTGACATCACTAGCGTTGAGCACTAATTGTTTTTAAATCCTTAATAAAACACCATCATTCATCTTAGTGATAAAAAATGTCCTTCAGAATTATGTATTACAAAGCAAGTATAAAGAGTCCTAAAAAAATATTATGTACAATAAAGAAATGCTTCATGGTTCAGGAGTACCCTAACAAAACCCATTACAAAAAGCCCATAAAAAAAATGTTACAGTGAAAAAAATTCATGCTTTTGGAAGTTTATATTGTCCATTTACTCCCTCGACATCAAGTAAAATCCAATATGAAAGTAATCTTAGGATTCCAAATATTGGGGATGTAATATTTAAGATTAAATAGAGACCACTTTTTCGAGGATAAGATCCAAGCATTACCAAAACAATAATAATTTGAAAACAAAATTCTTTAGTAGTTTCCAAAATTATGGATTTAAAAAATCTTCCAAGGTAGGTCTTCCGCCCGAGGCCACTGATAAACAATATGCTCTCCAGCGTACATGCTCAAATGTTAAAAACTTGTTAAGCAAGAGTTGACTCTCTACTAATGCGCACTTAACTTCTTCTCCATTCCTCAATGTGGAATTAAATATATGTAATAATACAAATATTTTTAGAATGGGACTGAAAATTCATTATTTCTCTTTCTGTAATAATATAAAGCTTCACTTTTCATGTACTATGATTTTTTAGAGGATATTATTTTGGAAGTATGCCTAGTACTTTTTTGAAGCAAAAATACTAAGAATGTGATAAAGGAGATATATATGTTTCTTTCATTCTTGGTTGTTAATCCCTAATAATGTTTGTTTGATAACAAAAAACAGGACACCTTAAGCTGCCTTCTACTTGTACATAATTTACCTTTAGAGAGAGAAACTAGGCAAAACTTAGAGAGAGAGAGAGAGAGAGAAGGAAAAGCAATAAAGGGAAGGAGTTGAGCAATATGGCGAGTGCTGGTCTTTCTTCATACCCTTTTCCTAATTTTCTCCATTTCCTTGTAATTTATTACAAAAATCACCGATTTTCCTAAAAGTTGAATAGTGGATGTATAAAATAGTTAAGAGTTTTTCCTGGTTAGAATATCATGTGTACATTATATAATACGGCATACTATTTGACTGTGAATATTATTGCTATTATTAAACTAGGTCTACCATTTGATTGAAACTAAAGTGGGCATAGCTTTTTCCACCCGGAAAGAGAGAGAGAAGAGAGAGAAAGTTAGGGTTATAACGCGCCGAGCAACCTTGGCTCTGGCCCGGCCGTTATCGTCATAGTTCGCCCAAGCTAGGCCGTAGCCCAATTAGAGCCAGGCCCAAAAAGGAGAAAAAAAAATTAAAAAAAAAAAAAAAAAAGAAGAAAAAGAGAGAGTTGGCTTAAATTGAACCTAACCGATATTGGCTTTAACCGAGTCCTTAAAACCAAAATTTGTGACCCACGTTCTAAAAAGTTAAAACCAGGACCAACCAAGCTGGATCTCTCCGCCCCGGCCCATTTCGTGCGGGGAAGGGAGAAAGGAGGAGAGTGGAAAAAGTGAGAAGGAATTAAAGAGGGTCGGCAGAGTGAAGACGTGGCTCCTCAAACGGCCCCCTTTTGTTCACACCTACTCAAATCAAAGACACGTGTGGCCCCCACTCCAATTTATGAGGACGATTTCATCATTCTCTCGTCCACACTCTTGAGTTTAATGGCAAGACTTTCCTTTTGGTTTTAACCCCGACAATTTCGGCACAAACACACCTATGAACACTTTCTCTCTCTTCACAACATTAATTTCACATTGAAAGAGATAAAAAAAATAGCAATTTATTTTCTTAAAAAAATATCATACGTTCAATTCCAAAAGAGAGAGATGTGGGGCATCATATCTAAACAAAATAGTGGAGAGATCCGTGTAACTAATAGAAATTCATTAGAAAGAGAGTGAAATCCATTTCAGTAAGGGTGTGTTTGATTCCTGAAAGATGTGGTATTAGAAACCGCATCTTCTAGACTTTAGCACTTCCCTATTTGATAACATGAAAGTTTTTCGGTAAAATGGATATGGTTGTATACACTTGCCTTACATTTAAGGCTAAACTTGGATACTATCAGTTTCATGGGAGACAATGGAATTTGGGAAACTCATCTCTTTGGAAGATGCAGTTTCGGAAATCAAACACGCTCTAATAGAGTTGGTTTAGAAAGAGAGAGTGGGGTAATGAAACCGAGGTATTAGACAGTGAGAGATTGTTTAGCACAAGAAATGAAACTAATAGAGGTTGTTTATCACAGGAAATGAAAAACAAAGGTATTTTATTTATATTTATATAGCTGAAATCATAGAGACATTCACGTACATGAAAAGTAGTTATAACATTGAAGTTGAATTAACAGTGTGTCTTTTTTGAGGAGAAGAAAAGGGAATTGCCTAAGCAATAAAGTTCTTACTTTTTTACATGAAATCATAGGAGAGAGAAACAATAACTAAAGTGACCAACCTTTCATAAAAATAAAAAAATAACCGCTCGAGTTTAATAAAAAGGAAAGAAAATACTTCTTCCTGGTGAAGTAGATAAGACTAAATATGACCACTTAGTACCCATGATGTAATCCTCAAACACTATACGAATATCATGTCGCTCTTTCTAACTAGAACAAGTAAACTCTAGGAAGAAAAGTAATCTCTAGGAAGAAAAGTGGAGGACCACAAGTATTTTTCTGTTTATAATATAGGAAAATATTTTTTTTTCTTCAAAAACCAATGGGGTTAGTTTATCAATATTGATACGCTTTAAAAGCCCTTCCATTTAGGTACCTCCAAAAAATCATGTAAAAAATACT